GTATATAGCAACTAGTTTTTTTTTGACGTTAAGCTAATGAACTCTCAATCTCCGCATTTCTGTTATCTAAAAAATCTGTGAAATTATTTAGCAACGAAAATATTAAAAATTCTTATTGAATCATTTAACACTCCATATGATAAATTGTTGCAGAGGATTTTTTTTAACACAAGATCAATGTAAAAATGAATCAAAGTTTTATCATTTAAAAAGATATTTGAATGTTTTATTTTATTTATTATATTCTGATAATTAGAATTTTTATTATTAAATGTAAAATATATTTTTTAGCTGATTTTAGTATCACATATTATCAGTGAAACCGGTATAATTAACTGGTAAATTAATTTTTAATATGATTGTTGATAAATTTTAATGAAATTTTAACAATAAATTTCCGGTTTTTCCAGGACTAAAATAATTTATTTGTAATAAATTACTTACTAAATATAAATAAGAAACATATATAAACAAAAAAATATATGTTATAACTTATATTACAAGTTATTATTGTATTAACATCACTATGAGCTTTACTATTTTATACTACTCTTTTCAATGGATGCATAGACATGGTGGTAAAATCTTTCATTTTTAATAAATTTCGTTAATTATCTAAGTAGTTCTTTCGACTCAGATGTAACTAAAATGCCCATAATCAATGTAGTTGAAAGAAATTGTAAAATGTAATACCTGTAATGAAGTAATGTATTTATATATGGTAGATTAGAAAGAGATGATTCACAAATCATTGGTCAGGGACGGTCAGGTTCACGATCTTTATATAATTTCAGTATACTTTAGTAATTAAACGAAGCAGTATACAATAAGGAAATGTTTGCATTAAATAAAATATTAAACTTAATTGAATAAAGTAAAAAAATTCAATCGTCTGATTATGTTAGTTCAAATACTTTAATCACAGATAAATTATTCAATATGCATTGATAAATCGTTGTAATTGTTATTCATTTTATGAATAAACAATTCCAATTGTTACTATGGATAATATTTTATTCAATTTAATAATTTTAGACATTTTATTACTAGACATTTATGTCTAGTAATTCAGGCTTCAAAAATATAAATTTACTTACATGAATGAATAAATATTATATAAAAAAATAATGAAGTAAACAGTTATTTGAAGTATGAATGATGAAATTAAGTGAACATAAAACAGTCATGAATACATAAACAATTTATTCAGGAAGATCTACGTTTAAAAAATAAAAATATTTTGTATGTAATCAATTACATGTTATAATACATAATATAGTCGATATTTAATTGACGATTCATAGAGAAACAAATACATATGTAGAATATTATTTAATGAAATTTATATATGGAGTTTTCAAATTTATATTGTCACTTAAATTAATTTAAAATATCGACAAATCTTATCAAGTAAATCAAAACTAACAGTTAAGAAGTAAAACAGATTAATTAAAAACAAATATCAAAAATTTATAAGCCTATTGTCAAATAGATATAATTATCAAAAATTGATAAGCCTATTGTACTGTAGTAAGATATTAGATAAAGAAAAAAGTATAATCGCATAGATATAAATAATTATTTTGTAATGTTTACATATTAAATAGTTCAAAATACATTTAATTTATTTCTTAACTTCAAATGCTTCTCCAATGTCGGTAGAATTACAAAATAGAGTCGCAGAAATTGAATGACCATACATATATATAAATTATTTTGATTGTTTTAGTTTTTTACAGAGATGTTATGATTAAAGTAAATTTAATTAACTTAAATAAGGAAATTCATTTATAGTAACTTAAACTTCATGATATTGTTTCTAATATTATGGGAATATTTATCTATTGAAAAACGAATTTACAAGAATTGATATATTTGCAAATAATAATTAATATTTAAAAGTTTAAAGTATTTTTATCCATTAACTGTTTTCCAACGTTTTTTTTTTTAATTTAATTTGTGTTTGATATTATTTTATGAAATCTATTAAACCTATTAACTAGGTAAAAATTATACATATTTAATTATATACTTTTATTCTTTTAAAAAGATTTAGTAAATTGCAAATTTTTTATTATATAGTAATAATAATAATAATAAAACATTGAATAGTTGATATAATGTAAATTTAAGTATTCCATATATTCTCTAAATAAAGTATTTTTTATTTAAATTATGTTAAAATATTTACGATTCATTAATGAAAATATCCTAAATTTAAGATATTAAGTGTACAGAAATATTACAATATCCTTAAACAATTGTATAAAATCTTATACGCGTTCATTAAAATTATTATAATCGAATTAAACTTGAACGTAATTGAAAGGAAATCATATATACGATCATTTGATTCTGAAATATCCTTTCTGATTGTTTTTATAATTTCGCATTGAACGAACGAAGGAAGAACAAAGTTTGACTCTCTTAATTTGCTTGAAATAATTAGCGTGTTAGATAAGTAGACGAGTGGTGAAAGTTAACAACGTAATGGTTCTCGTTATCCACTCCTTTTTTTGTACCTTAACCCAGTCACTTTAGAATTTAAGGCCGGATAAATTGTGGTAAGCTAAAATATTATAAAGCAAAATTCTGGCATTAAAATTAATATCAAAATAGTTGTACATAATAGAGGTTGAAATATTTTTTTTATATATCATATGCTTTAAATACTTAATCTTTGAAATTTTTCAAAATATAAGATTTAAAGGAATACATTCAAAATTTATAAAATGTACATTATATGTTGCCAATTTTTAAAATTATTTTAATCTAAGATTACTGTAATCATTGTTTCTTAGGACAATTCTTTCTATCTTCATATTTTTACTTATAGTTTATAAAATAACATATGAAAACATTTATTTTTTATAATATATTCGCTCTTCACCCGAAGTGTAGTAAGTAAATTTACTATTTGAAAAAGGGACATAAACTATATGAATTTTTTGTTTTCCTTGATTTATGAGAATGAAGGTTAGACGAGCTTATTGGATAAAAGTGGACAATACTAGTCAGTTAAGATTTTAAAAGTTGATCCTTAATTACTCATTATAAGAGAATATATAGGAGTTCTTTTATATAATACTAATATCTTTTCTCAGTATGTGCCAAAAATACCTACTTTTTATTAGCAATCATCTCAGTATTATTTTCCTTTTAATTCAATTATATAATTACGTTACTATAGGCAAATTCAATTCCGCGCTATATAATTAATAAGTCGTTTAGTTAATCTTAGAATAAAATAATATTAAAATTAAATTTTTATATTAAATATAAAAAATGTAGAATATAAAGCTGAAATCTATTAATGTAAGTTTTACTTTTATTTACTATGATTATTATAGTTGTAGACTGGTCTCAAAATTATTTACATCATTTATAGTTTATTAATAATAATTTTAACAGGATTAAGTTAAATCAAGTTTAAAAAAAAAATTGGTAAAAATGTTATAATTTACCCAGTATAATCATTTCATAATAAATAATCATTCACGATATTCTATATTTATATATTAAGTAACGAAATTTGTAAAAGCTCGCGATATATGTATATATTAATATAAACAATATTTATATATTAATAAGTAGTTAATAAATAATGATTTAATGATTTTGTAGTACTTTCATTTGTTTATATTTGTGCAATGTATATTCGCGTGGATTTTTTATTCTAATACATCGACGAGAGAAGGAGCGAATGTGTTTTTTACCGAGAGGTGAAAAATACGTCGCAAAGCTAGCGTTCTTATATAAAGATCTAATAAAATTGTGTGTAAGGCATAATGAAACTTAATAATAAGCCTACCTTTGCAATTATCTTATCTCGACTGCCTTAAATTCTACGATATTTTTATAAAATACAATAGGGATTTTTTTTCATTAAGAGTGAAATTTTTTGCTTTTTAAAAGAGTTTATCGTATATTTTGATACTTCTGCTTGAATACAAATCTTTTCATCTCTTGTGATAGGACAGAACCCTATAAAAATATAAAACTGCAAAGGAAAATATTGGTAGCAAAGAAGAGATACTTTGAAAAGAAGCATAATCCTACAAATAAGTTTGTGTTTGAAAGATCAATTATTCCTATCTTATATTTAAGTGAAATTAACTTAAACATTACATTTTTTTTCTCGCGAATAAAAATAGTAGGAAGTTACTAAAACGGAATCACGAAATTTGATCATATAATAGGTGACGCTCGAGCGACAATGCATTATTATTAGTTGACATATTCATTGCAGTTAAATACATTATGCAGCAAGACATTGTTATAAAAGCGCTCAATATCGCACATAATTACTTATAAAATACGCCTAATTCTAAAAGAGCTCCAAGCTTCCTTACAAGCCACTGCTTTGATGTACATATCAATTGATCTTTCAATTAATATATGAATAGGAAAAAGTCCCTTTACTTTCTTAATTATAAGAGTATTGTTTATTGTTTATTTTCATTTTTTTTTTAAATTTGTATGCTTGACAATAAAAATCAAATTGAACGTCTAAGGAAGATTGATTGTACTATTTATGAATAAAATATAAATATCATTTAAATATAAATAATCATACATTATAAAATGTCTAATAATTTAATTTATGGTTGTATAAAGAAATTTTTTAGACAAGGCAACTTCTATAAATCATTTAGTAACCATTTTGTATTATAAAAATAAGGCATTAATAGTATTGCTATATTAATTACTTCAGTATATCAATTATATATTTACTGGCTTCAAGCATTCTTATTCTAGATTATAAGTTATTCTTTCTCTCCATCTTTTTTCCAAAGCTTATAAATATAAAACTAATAAAGTAATTATATATATATTAATTTTTAAATGAAGTGAAGGCCTATTCACATCATATAATGCAAAATATTCTTCTCTTATAAGTACAAATCATTGTTTTATACAAAGATATTAAATATTGAAAAATTCCATTTAAAATGTACATCAAGCTAGTCAATTGCAATGAAAATTTATTTCTGTTTTAGTCATTCTATCTATTCTAAACTTCAAACATGGCTTCAGATTGTGCAGCGCGGGGGAACCTGGCGTAAGTACTTCACTTCCAACGTTGAGTTCAAAATTTAAGAATTACCTTTTTTTGCAAATTCTTTATGCAATTTTCTTTATTGCAAATTTCTTGTTTGCTCAGTATTTGGACTTCGACAATCTACCAGAAACGAACTTCTCATGTCAGGGAAAAGTAATTGGTGGATATTACGCGGACGTCGAGGCTGGTTGCCAAATGTTTCACGTGTGCACAATCGGACAAAAAGGTAATATGCCCTATCAGTGCAGATTTTTACCTATTACATACTTATGCGTATATACACAGATCCTTATTGATTTATATAAAAAAATTACGATATTACATTCAGTCATTTATTTGAATATATAACAAATTACCCGTTTGTGTAAAAATTTATCAATATTAAAATATAGAAACTAACTTATTTACAAATTTATATTTAATAACGAACATATTTTTATTATAGACAATTTTCATTAGATTTAATTCAAGATCATTTATATTAATTTTAATAATAGAATATGACATTTCATCATTAAATAAATTTTTTCCATGCAACAATATTTATTACATGAATTCGTTTTATTTAATAAATTCTCCCATATTAAACACTCAGATTATATATAGAGTGTAATGGAACTCAGATTTTATTCAGCATTTGTAATTAGATTCATAATGTATGTACACATTATATTATGAAAATAATATGTTACATAATTTTCAATAAGGTTTGGTTTTCATTATAAGCGCAATTTTTTCGTTATTGCATTTTGCGTGGTCTACTAAATTAGTTAATAAAGACTATTAGCAGAATAATTTTTCGGCTTATATTCTAAAAGGAGGTGTGTTAACCTTATGCCTGACGTTTGCTTCTTTTTTTAATCACTTCATTATGTGCAGTATATATTCTAATGAAAAAAGATGCATAATTTAGGCACCTTCACGAGTTCGGAAGAATTTATATGTGTTAAGTATAATCGATTATATATTAACTTTAAACATTTATCATCACTTTTAGAAAATATATATCTGGTAATAAAGTTCATTTTACCATTTGACATATGTCAACTCTAGCATGCATTCGTTTAAGCATTTAAAAATTTTGACACGTTTTTACAGAAAATTCAAGAATAACTCATTACGTACATTTTATTCATCTAATCCATCCGTATTATCGGAATATAAATGGCTTTAAATTATTATTAAATAAACTTAATTAAATATATTAAATTATTATTAAATAAAATAAATATCGATACATTTTCTTAATTTATATATTAAACAATCCATAAAATTCAAGTGTTTTATGTTATATGCAATCCCCCATAATTATAGATCTAATTTAAATATGCTGAGTTTGAATTAATTCTTTAACACAAAATTAAAATTTCATAAAATTTTTGTTATTCATAATTAATTAATTATTTATCATTGATTATTAAATGTAATTTTAGATGAGATAATGGATATAAAGTTCCTCTGCTTGAATGGGACAGTATTCGACCAAGAAACTAGAGTTTGTGAGAGAGTCGATGAGGTTGATTGCAGCAAAAGCGAACGCTTCTATAATCTCAATCTAGAACTTTATGGAAATAATGCGGTAACACTTAGGTGAGTATTTTATTAAAATTGAAACATATCCTAAATAGACAATACATTGTCATTCAACTATATTTATACTATGTATAACTATGAAATATGTAATTGATAAGAGTTATAATAAAAAAATTGTATAAATTGTATAACAACACTTTCTTCTACGTGAACATAATTAACCAAATTATTAGTATGACTTTTACGGTACAGAATAAATACAGATATAAAAGAAGATAATCCTGACGTACTTTCAAAATAATTATTAAGCATCAGATGTTAATAATTGATCGATTACTATATTTATACTGTTTATGGCAATATTTCTTTGAATAAATTTGAATATAATTAGTTATATGAGATTTCTAAATAATATATTTAAATGTTGAAATATAAATAAAATCAATTTTACAGTCATAACATAGCAAGTATTTGTATGAGCTAAAACATGGTTTTACTGTTATAATAATGTATGCAGTAATAACATAATATGCAGTCTAGTGGAAATATAATATTGAAATTATTATGAAATGAAAAAGTTGGAGTTCGAGTATTCATAACCAATAAATATCGGTCGCATGAAATTTATCATTTTTAGCTGATTTATTATATTTAATATTTAGCCAATTTATTAAATTATTTATTAAATTTATTATATTTTGAGATATTTTTGTTCGAGAAATTTGTTTAACGAATCATTTGTAAATATTTAACATCTTTATTACTGAGCACGTTGACATTGAAAAGTTCTTTTTGTCAAAATTTAAATAAAAGATTTCAGAAAATAAAAAATTCAACGAATTCATTTATATTACATTAACATTTTCATTTAAAAAATTGTTTTACAATTATCCATATTAAATTATTAAAAAAATTTTTTAATAGAAAAGATTTAAATCTTACACTTTTCGTATTTTTTATAAGAAATTTTTTAAATATATATTTAAATTATCCATTACTGCCATAATATACAGTTTTCTTTTCATTTCATTCTTTTTTTAATATAATAAAAAACAATATTCGTCTCTACAAAAATTACATAGATAACTAAAATTATCAATATTTTAACAGTGAAATTCTAGTACTTTATCTTACTATTTTAGAACATTATTCATCATTTTACAAAATAGATTGTAGAAAATGTGATAAATCGGAAATATTTGAAATAACAAACATTAACAAATCCAAAATAATTTTTTTAATGCAATTAATTATTAATATTATTTTTTTAATTATTATTTTGAATTTTAAAGAGATTTCTATCAATTTAGTCTACACGAGGAAGATGATGACGACAATTCTCCGGAATCTCGAGATGATCATCAGCAACAGCAACAAACCCAAAAACAACAACACCTTATGACTTCCACAAGACCAAGTACCACCAGTAGTACATCGACTACCACGTCTCGATCTAGTCAACCATCAACGACCTTAGGGAACAATGTCTATCAACATCCTACTGGATATCCACAGCATTATCAACCGCAACCTGCTTTCCCTTCAATACAAACAAGTCAATCGAACACACACTATAATGACAAAAATGGTGGATATCATCATCAATACATCTTTCATACTGACGAAAGAAATAATAATAATCAGGCGACTTCTTATCAACTTTTTAGTAATCAGGGTGTAAGTTCAACAATGACAACTCCTCCCGTTCATCAACAGGTTCGAATAAATAATTTTAAATAGTATAACCGAACAAAATGAGTCGTGTATTAAATTTATTCATTATAATAACCCATTAATAAAACGAAATTTAAACAAGAATATATTAATACAAGTAGTCTTTTAAATAACTAATAAATAGTTAAAACTTTCCAATTTAAAACTACCAATTTATTCTATATATGTTTACAACTCACACAAGTATAAATGTAAAATATTTACAAATCGTATTAAATCTCATATTTTAACATATAGTAAAAAATTTATATAATATAATTATATATAAAAAATTATTGTAAAATAATGTTCAAAATTATGAAAATTCTGTATAAGGGTACGATAACATATTTATTTATTGTATTTACATGTATATCATATGATAATATTAGTTGATTTTATTATCGTAATAAACGATTATAATTATAATTTAAAATATTTTATTTATGCATTTTAGTTTTAAATAAAATAATATTACAATAGTAGTACAATAATTTAATACATAATTGATTTAATTTAAATTTACTTATAAATTACAATATTTCACGTTTATAGATTCGTTACAGTTCAACGGTATCTCCACAAGTAATTCATAATGAATCACCGACGGTTATGTCTATTCAATACCACGTACAGTCTACTTCGGCAACTATTGAAACATTATTGAATAATAATGCTAATAATCCATCCTTGATAAATCCATTATTTCATAGTCATGGAATTACTAGTACAACAGAACAATATAACATTCATAATAATAATCCACGTGAAATAACTACATACCATGATAATTCATCTGATGATGACGAGGCTGAACATAATGATAGAAGAGCCCTGGAGGCAGTACAATCAAGTAATAAGGGAAAGGTGATTATACACGAATAATGCACGCACCTGCAACAAATATGCTATTCATTTCATACATATGATTAGATATAAATTTACCAAATATATATATATATATATATATTGAATTGACTAATTAAAAATTTATTTTAATTTTATAAGGAAGGTAAATAATATTACGACTTAATTTTTAATATAAACTTCATATATCATTGCGCAGATAATTTCTTTATAAAATTTAAATATTTTATAAATATAATTAAACTATTTTCTTTGTGAATTAATTTATTTGTTATCGTATAAAATTATCATCATTAAATATTATTACTTGTATACTATATATGACAATTTCACACCATAGACATGTAAAAACACTAATTATATTCATATGTTAGAAAAATACATAATAAAAAAATTAAAATTTGAATATTATGTATACATAATTTATTTAATATTTTAAATATTAAAAAATATAGAACTCATTTTACTCACTTAAAATTATTTATGTTTAACTATATTAAAGCAAAAAAATATATAATTTCTGCACGTATTAGGAGAAAATCTAAGATAATTTTTTATTCAATGTAATAATCTTAATTAAATTTAATAATAAAATGGAAAATTATTTGTAATTTTATATAAAGTATTTAAATATAACGATTTCATAATTAAAAATAAGAGAAGATACATAAGATATGTAGAAAATATAAGTTATAATGAAAATCCCAATAATCATAATGAGTTAACAAAATATTTAAATAATTATTATTACTGTAATTTTAAAAATGAAAATAAAAATTGTATTATAAAATTTTATATAATTAATTAGTTATTAATTTCATTTTTAGGTCTCAAAATTAACGATTTCTCCAGTTCCAGAAGAAGATGGCCATTCTTCAGTTATTCAAACGAAAAGTGTCCAAACTCCACAACAGCAGAGAATATCTATTAACTACCTCCCAACTCCGAGTTCAATCCAAACAACAATTAGTGACTTTTATTTAACACAAAATCCAACATCACAAAAGTCTCAAAATTCTCAAATTAATCAACAACTTCCTCAACACATTCATGTTCCACCATCACCTTCAATTCCTCAATTAAAGCCTCATCAAATCACAATAAATTTGCCACCGCCAGATATCCAAAGAATAGTTCAAAATCCATCACCACTTTTACCATCGCAATCACGAGTTATAGTGACAGCAAAAGCGAGCGTAAGCGATGAATCTGGAAGACCGTTGAATGCCAGTCAATTAATTACTCTTCCACTTCCGACAATTCCATCTAATTACGATGACTACAAAGAGGGTGACGAATCATTTGATCCATTTTATCGCGATGTTCCGAAAATAAGAAATGATCGTAGAATTATTTTAGCTAGTAAACATAATACAAATAAAAGACATTTAAGAAAAAAACGAGCTGCTAGCGACGATAAAAATGATGAAAACTATCCATCGGGAGAAGTAATATTTAATGCGGAAATAAAGGATATAAAGGATTTGAAAGAAAATTTACCAATTATAAAAGCAATCTTATTTGGATTGCCTATTCCAAAAATTGAAGAATCTTCGAAAATAAGAATTACGAACATTGATAATACACAAAATAATAAATTAAACGAAAGCTTAATTTTTAATGACGAAACTACAGAAAAAATAAATAAGGAGAAAAATATTAATAATACATATAAAATTATTACAGAGGATATAATTGTAAATATTTCTAATAATGAGAAAAATGAAAAAATAAAAAGTAATACAAACGATGAATTGAAAACAATTACTGAAAAGATGAATGATAAACAAATTTCTACGGATTCAACGCTTGGAAATAATATTGAACATGAAATACCCGTTAATCCTTTAATTAAAAATCATAATAATATTATTTTAGAACCTGAAGCTATCCTTCAATTCTTTTCACAAACAAATGAAGGAAATAATTCTCAATTAGTTAATTATAAATCTTCTATTCCAATTGAATTATTAAAGCCATTAGATAAAACTGTTGATATAAGTAATAGTACTGGTAAAATGCTACCGGAAGTATTACAAACACAGTCTTTCCCAATGGAATCGAACAGAAGAAAATATCTAAATAATGAATCATCGGAAAAATTTGACGAATACTTACCTCGTAGAAATAGTTATAATAATAAGCCAAAATCCACTAGATATTATGAAGAATATGATATCGATGAAAGGATAGGATTGAACTTAAGACCCAGATCACATAGATCCAGACAAAGGCCAAAGGATAGACGCAGAACGAATTATAGGCGTGATTATTTAGACGAAGAATATAACGAATATAACGAATACCCTGAAGATAATGTCAACAGCCATAATAATAATAATAGACCAAGAGCAGATCCACGAGGTAGTAGAGTATTATATCGAAATCGTAATCGAAATATTGATTATGAAGATGAATTGCAAGAATACGAAAAATTAAAACTAACCCCAAAAGCTTTAAATTCTACAATCCAAATTGCCGAGAACTCTCACAATGAACGCTCTTACGAAAGTTCAAAACAAAGACCAGATATAGAGATAAGAAGCAATCGAGGTAGACCGTCTCTTATTTCAACCGAACAAATTCAAATTAAAGAGTTGGATTCAAAATTAAAACAAATTGATTTTCCAGTAAGATTGAACCAAGAAAATAAAAATATAAGATATTCATTAAATAATAAACAAAATGATAATAATTACCCACTCATGAAAATCCATTTAAATAGTTCGAGAACGGATAACAAATCTGCAGAAATACAGAAGGATAAAGTCAACGAAGATTATATAAGTAAAGAAGAACTGTATTTAAATGAATACAATGAGTCAGAAGAAGTTGATGTCCCTGATGATTATGTAGATTATGCAGATTTTATAGATACAATAAAAGAAACTGTTATTGACAATAGAAGAAATAGAAATAGACATTCATTTGACAACGAATTTGAAGAAATTCAGCAAAGAAAATCAGATCGTCAAAATAAGAGTAGAAAATTTATTGAAGAAAAACAAACTTATGAAGATAGAATTAATAATAAATATATCGAATTGACATCACCACGATACGAACTAAAAGATAAAATGACTAATTCGGTCATAGCAAATAAAGTTTCTAGTGAAGCAAGCGTTTTTAAAGAATACGATGATTACGATGCAATAAAAATTATATCTACTACGGAGAATATAAAAAATTTAGAATTATTTGTACAAGAAAAATCAAGTACAGAAGGCATTTTTAAATTCACTGATGAATTACCGTTAGTAGAAAAAAATGAAGAAGCGCAAAAAAATTATAAAGAAAAGTATGAAATATCTACAAATGAAGAAGATTATGTTGATGATAATTACGAACCAGAAAGCTATATTTATCCTCTTATTCGCGAATCTTCGCCATCATTACATAAATTCGATGAAGAATACAATAAACACGTCTTTATTGTAAATGACCAGCCCACAAATATACAGACAAGTAATAAGAATAAAACTGTAAATAATTCTGAGATAAGAGTAGATAGTAAAATTGATGAGCATGAATTTGAAAATACAACCGCCTCACTTATTTCTGAAGAATATTATGACGTAGAAATTACAACGAATAACTTTCATGATACAACCTCTAATCCAATTTCAACTTCAACGAGGGAATCTATCTTATCTTCAGTAAACAAATCAACTATGAATACACTGATTCCTATAACAACAAACCCACCCATTCCTATATCTACGGTGACTACTACAAATATGCCTAAGCTTGCGACGATACCGATAACAGCTAATACTACATCTCAAACTACAATTAATTATGCAATGATAATACCCATTACAAATACGCTCGCACCTACAATGACGACAACTTTTACAAGCATGCGTGATCCTACTCTGACCGACGTAATGTCATCTATACATGGTATTACTTTAGCAGCAAGCAAAGCTGAAACGACAACTAGAAGTCCAATATTAGCAATGATTACTACATTAACTACAAAGAAAACCAAAGTAACGACAAAGTTTTTCAAACCAATTACATACAGAAAAAACTACACATACATTCCACCATCAACGACGCCAAATTCAGTAGTAATAAGACGTGGTCATCCATTAAGTGGTCCAAAGCCGACCAAATCACCTCCAACATACAACGATCTAGCTCCAAAACCAATTATTCGAAGACTACCTTTACTATCAAGAACTACAACAAGTACATCCGAACCAACAGTATTTGAAGAAGAAATGGTAGAATTACCAAAATATACGTTGGAACAGAGAGATAAGAATATTAATGAAAATAAAATTTCTATCTATATCAATAAAAATATATCATCAGTCCCCGAAACAATAAAAAATCACTCGATTTCTGATTCATTACCTTTAACACAATCAAAAAAGAATGAAATATCAAATAAAGATTTCGATTCTAAAATCGTGAATCTTAACGAAACGTTTATTAGCAAAAATTCCACATTATTAACAAAATATAATGAATCTATTTTTAACGGAGAATCAACATTCAATAATGAAGTAGCAAAACTAAATTCAGAATTAAACTATTCAAATAACATAACAAACATTGCGACAGATTTAGTAACCGAAACAGAAAGGACAAAATCAAAATCATCATTAACTAATTCTAATCAAAATACATTAAAATTAGATAGTACGACAAAAAATATAGACTCAACTACTCGCTTTAAAATATTCAATATTCAAACGACAACCTTAAGAAATATGAAACCTTCAGAACGTCGCAAATTCGAGCTGACTTCTGAAAAAATACAAATGCAAAAAGGTAATCAGAGTCCTAAACCAGCAGCAGGCTTTAATTGCTTAGAAAAGGAAATGTATCGTTTCTATGGCGATGTGCGAGATTGCCGTTTATTTCATTATTGTTCACCAGGCTTCACGGCGAGGCAGGTCCTCGACTTTAGATTCGTATGTGAAGAAGGTACGACCTTTGACGAAGAAAGCCAAAGTTGTCGACATGATGTACCGAATGCCAAGTGTGTAAAACGAATTTGGTGATCCGCATTGGATTTTGGTTTTAGATAATTAGTATAAATTTGTTGTAATTATTCTTAATGTCTATGGCTACATTCAATTTTATTCGTATATATTTTATATTTGGCATTTAGTAATAATATTTAATATCAACATTGGCATATATATATATATATATATATATATATATATATATATATATATATATATATACATATATGAAATTATTTTTTCGTTTGAAAGTATGTTTTTTGTAGAAAATTGAAGTATAGCCTAGATTTTGTTAAGTAATTTGATTTCTCATAGAAATATGTCAATTATCATAGATTTTTCTTAATTTCATATAATTTCTATGAGAAATTGAATAAAAGTGTAGAAATTTAAATTAGAACTTTGCATATTTAGCCAACGTTCTAAATAAAATATTCTTACTATTCTAAATATTCCGTTGATTTTGGTGATTCGTGAATCCTGGATACTATACAGTGCGTATTTATGTGTCGTAATGTGACACCATTCTTATTCTTAAGTAATGCCATATTATTCTCTTGTAATTATATGTTTTTCGGATAATGGATAATGGATTCACTCTTATTAAAATTAATGAGATACTCGCGTTGCGAGATAATAGCGAGATTGAATTATAATTTCGCCAGAATACATTTAAACATCGATTTTCCTTATCGATATTTATCAAATTTATCATTTCTTTTTTGTTCTTCTTTTTTTTTTTTTTTTTTTTTTTTTTTTTTTTTTTTTACGTCATTAAGAATATCAAGGAACTCATTTAAATACTTTTTTTTTTTTATCAACTTCAATAATATTTAGTAATAAACAAAACTATTTTTATAATTAAATGTAAAATATATTGATGATATATGATATAGCCGAAAAGTTAACTCATAAATAAGGAGTTCCTTAATCTTGCCTTAGAGAATAAGCTTGACTATTGAAGGATACTTAGGCGCACAAATAAACTTGATTACCATTATTTTAAATAAATAAATTTTAGATTTTTTGTCGTCTAGCTGTATGTATACAATGTCTTCTTTTTAATTATGTATTTTTATGAGTTTTGTTAAAAAATATATTCCTGTGACATTTTTATTTTAAATTATTATGTAAAAATGTATGTACGAAATTTAAAATAAACTTTTCAATACAAAGTTTATATTATATGCCTATTATACAGTTATATTTCGATGTTGATTTACATATTCATCAGCATTTACATACAGCAATCATAAAAATGAATATATAATAAAATATATAAATATAATTTTTGACATATAAAATGTATTTTCGTTAATAATATGCATATGTACTATAAAATACATCCACGTAAAACTAATGCACTCGATGTAACGATGAAAAGATTTGAGCAATGACGGAACATAAAATAAATTTTTCTATTGTGCCGAGATAAATATATTTGCTTAATTCAACTAGTTCATGTATTATAAAAATCCTAATTATATTTTTAAAAATATTATTCATAATATTTTAGTATTTTAAATGATTACAGGATAATTTCGAAAATTATAATAGAATTTTTCTTTTATTAATATTACCTTAAAATATATATATGTAAACGTTGTACTGCTTTTATTAATTATCCTCATGCATTTTTGTATTACCTATATATATGCATATATATAAAGTAAAAAAATATTTTAAAGAAATGTTTAAATTTTATAAATTACAAATTATTATTATTGCAAAATTATTATTTATAAATATCGATTTGTAAAGATATTTATTGTAACTCACTTTTGAGAGTAATTTCTAAAAATATAAATAAAAAAATAAAAAATAATTATTAATCTAAAACGAGTGCCTAATATGTTCTAGTGTTAGGATATCGTAATCATTTCATGTAGTACACAAAAAGTGTACTTCTTAGCCACTCAGATCAGTCGGCATTTTGTATATAAATTTGAGCTATGCCGATGCTGCTCAAAGGTATTTTTCGTATCATGCGGAACTGTATAGACATATTTTATAAGCAATTGTACCGAGCTAATAATAATATTGTATATTCATATGGAAAATAATTGTTTTATTTTCTATCCTTTTCCATTAATCTCAAATTTTTAACCTAAATTAGAAAGATTTTCAAAATATAATTAGTTTCTGGAAAAATTATCGTTTATATTATACACTACAACTGTAAGCTCTTTGATTCAATTTATTTAATATTTTTAATTAATACGACTTGAAAGGAAACAAAGGCATTAAATGCGTTTTGAAGATTTCTGATATATATTTTTAATTATGATATTCAACACAATACAATGAGTAGAGTAACGTTAGGCTATTTAATATATATATAAAATAATCTTCATTTTAGGAAGATACAATGAAAATTATGATATTCACCCATTCAATTAAATACTTTTGAATAAAAAAAACTATCTGCTTTTTTATTATTTTTTAAGACTCTACCTTGTCTTCTTACTCTTTAAATATACTAGATTCTCTTACTTCACTCATGTGTTTGCATTAATAATTTCTATTGCACTAATACTGTTTATACATTTTCTTATTATTTTTTTTTTATTTTGCTCTAATTTTTATGACTTTATAGATAAACTTATTTATTTCAAAACAATTATCTCAATTCAAAGTTGAATTATAAAATATGAAATCTTTTTCAAGTATGAATGAGTGTATAGCTGTATTTATGTTAAATGTAGATAAACATACAAAATAGAATAATTCACAGTACTGTACATAATTAGAAAGTGAAAAAATTTTTATTATATAACAATTACTTAAAACTACTCTTCGATTATTGAGGATTTGTTTTATGGCTCGAACTGCCAATTCAATAGTTTAGTAGATTAGTCTCTCGTCATGATGACTGATTATGAAATATCTGGTGGGAAGGCTGAAATTAAGTACAGTATGTTATTATTGTGTTCAGATATCGTTTATTCTTGTTGTTAATTATTATAATATTGCAGTTTTGATTTATTCAGGTGAGAGAAGGAAAAATATTGTATTACTGTGGTGAGGTTATTTCTTCAGGGTGATGGTAATGTCGTTGATGCTATGGAGATTACTGTGGATCTTGAATGTCGGTTTTATGCTGATGTTGTAAGGATCAGCCTGTGTAGTCGATCATGCTCATGAATGAGCATGAGAAGATGGTGGTTCGAATCAAGTATGCTTGTTCGGGAGAATGATCATACTTAGAAGAGTGTAACAAAGTTTTGATGTAAATTGGTACGTAATCAATTATGCCTCTAGTGCGGATGGGAGTAGTTGAAAACTAGTCACACGCAAGAATAATAAATGATAAGTCTTCGAGCTCTGAAGGATTTGATGAAAATGTATTTCTAGTCGATTATTTCATAAACTGTTGTCTGGCCCTGACAATGTAATTGAACGTATTTCACTACGTTCACTAACATACGTTCTCCGGCTTGTTTGCCTGCGAGAGCGTATTGTGTCACCTGTCGACTCTTTGAATAGAAGTTATATGAAACTTGATGTGGGTGACTAGCTTGTTTAAACAATATAAAGGGATTGTTCGGGATTGATGCAGTCCCATAAATTTCAAAGAAAATAAAGGTCATACGTGCTGTCCGGCGTACAGCATGTGCGCCTAGACTGGCACGCACGTGCGGACCGGGAGGCGCACTCAAGCGAATGTATACAAACAAAACTCGGCAAGTCCGAGCAAGTTTAGACCCGAAATATAATATACTATAAGATCACCTAATGGTATTACTCCTACTTTTCTCTCGTCGAACATTCTCGAAGGTTCTAGATTTTTCCTTCGACGCCTCGTGTAAGAATTAGTGCAACAACGACGATGCCTTGTTGCCAGCTAAGTGAGCCGCCGCGTGACTATATAAGGGACGCACGCGGCGCGTCTCCCTCTCTCGCTGAAAGCTTCTTGCTTGCTGAACGGCTTTCTTGCCGAACCACCCTCGACCAACTGAGCTTGCGGCTAACATCTTGCCGTGACCCGACCGCAGTGACCGACCATAGTGAACCGATTCAATCATCTACCACCAGAAGTCATGGTACACGGGTCTCGACCTGCCCTCAGCAGGACCTTCATGGAACGGTCGGTATTTTCAGTAGAGCCGCCACGGAACGATCAAGCCTTCGGTTCGTGCGCGTATTCAAAAGGCTCATACGCTCATTTGTAATATCGCTTCGCTCTCACTCAAGCGTAACTGCCGCTCAGTGTGTGTAGACACATACTGTGAAGACGATGCATGGGCATATAATCGGCATCATAGTTAAAATTACGCGCCTGCATATGAATAAGAAATCGACAGATTAAATAGTGATTACAGTGAAGCCAATGGAATAGTAATCAAAGGGAAAATTAATTAAACAGCAATCAACAGAGCTTGTCAACACTTTACAAGGTACCTATTTTTATATTAATAAATAAACTAGTCACATCTAGCACAAGAAACCTAGGCAATTTCGCATCCCCTGACGCAGTCGACAGGTGATGGACACTTGGTTGTGCATTCTCTAAAATACTTGACTCAATGACGCAACAAGTCAAGATCATCCTCAAGGCCAGACTACAGTATATCGACTGATCGACAATAAGGACATTTTCAAGAAATCCTTCAGATTTGTAAGGTTTATAATCATAAAGACGGTTTATAAATAACTAAAGACACAATTGATTAGTTAATAAATTCCATTAAACATCTTACACCATATCAAGTAGTTATTCATACATCACGCATACTTGATTCAAACACCATCTTCTCATGCTAACTCACCACAAGCATGATTGACTGACTACATCAGCTGATATTTACAACATCGGCATTACTTCAACTTCAAGATACTTAGTCACATCCATAGCATCTACAATAATTCAAGAATGCAAGAATAAACCCTCACTACTTCAATAGAATTATTTCTCTCTACATCAAAGTGCAATATTGTTATAATTATTTACATTAATAAACATTGTTTTTACTAAATACATAATATCTTTCAGCCTTGTCTGTTATTGTTTCCTTTGAAGTTATCCTGCCGAGAGACTAATCCACTGAACTATTGAATTGGCAGTTCGAGCCATAAACTAACCCTTTAAAACCGAACAGGGATGTACCTTGTAAACTACCGATAGGGTATGGTATGTTGAATGGCTGCATGGCTGGCGTGCCCCTTTTGATTACGATTCCAATGGCTTTACTGTTAAATTACTTCCTGTTCTTGCTGACTCTTTTTTAAAATGCACATGTATCTTAAGTTGACTGCCGAACATGCGGTCACATGTCGTAGTAGCAGTATATACTAAACCACACTGAACAAGAGGTAGAATTACAATGAATATATAAGCCTTTTGAATACGCGCACGAAAACCGAAGGCTTGATCGTTCCGTGGCGGCTCTGCTGAAAATACCGACCGTTCCATGGCGGTCCTGCTGAGGGCAGACCGAGACCCGTGCCATGACTTCTACTGGTAGAGAGAGGGTTAGATCGGTTCACTGTGGTCGGTTTACTGCAAGAGGACGAGGCACGCGTGCGTGCATGCCTTATATATCTACGCGACGGCTCATTTAGTTGGTAACAAAGCATCGTCGTTACTACACTGGGATATTACATGAGCAATGGACAAAAGAAAAAACAAGGCGTAATAACTTTAGAGAATTCCGGGCGATGTTATTACCCGAAGACCATATAAACATTGCGAGCCATTTGAAACCAAAATCTAACAAGTATACGAAAAATCTCGTATTTACAGTAATCTGAGATCTAAAAGGCCGACGATGCCGACAATCGGCGGTCTTGGAATTTGCTTCAATCCCGAACAACTACTGTATAATATATTCGAGTTAATAATCAATAATACAGATCGATAATATAAAATAGTAATAAAAGTTTTATATCAACAATATAAAACTATCATTCCTTAATAGTAAAGGCCATATCACATTATTGCACATAACTTATAAATATTATTTGTATATTTCTTATTTAATAACATTTCAATTCTTAAAAATTGTTTATTCTTAGAAAATCAAGAAAGTACTATTGCTTATTAGCGTAAAAAGTGTTAATCTTTTGATATATACTAATATAATTAAAATTATAAAATCCAAGAAAAATTGAATTAATAAAATTAAAAATCTCAATTATTTAAGAAATATTTACAAATTCAAATGAAACATAAATTGATGATAAAATTCCGTAAAAAAAAAATTAATAAAAAACATTGTAATATCATTTAAAAAACAAATGATAATATTTATTCAGAAAATAATTCCACAAATCTGACTCGTCAGCCAAACGTGCAAAAATCAACTTAGAACAAAAAACCCACTTGATGTTGTGTGGGATTGCTGTGCAAGTAAAGGGTTAATGCACCGATTCAATAATTAATACATATCTTTATTATTGCTGTTTATCCCATTTATTTTCTTTATTTCCAAGTGGGAATCATTAATCATGGTGAAATTACAAATGACCTTTATATTTCTTAATAATCTTGTGGTGTTGATATATATCTGTTTGGAAGGATTGAAAAGCCACTGTGACGTCTGTAGCTGGTCTTGTCCTAGAGTATGCCTGGGAGACTTCGGTAGTTGGACCTTAATCCGTCCGTGTTCTACTTAATGTCGGGAAGCTTCGGTAGTTGGAGCCTTAATCCGTCCGTCTTCTACATAAGCCGAGAAATCAAGAATCTGTACTAGCTGTAAGGACTCACTTGCAGTGTATCGTGATTTTCCAGTCTCTCTTCGGTGGCTTGTTATGACGTTCCCTTGCAATGTTGCAACTCTTTAGTTCTTCATTATCTCCAAGTGAGATTACAAGTGGTCAGGTCGTATGCAATCCAGTCTTGATGAGATCAATTCAAC